GAAGTAAAAAATGAATAGAATCTGACGTTTCTGATCCTTTAAGGCTTCGATCTTTGAAAAATAAATTCAGTGCTGAAACTTTTAAACTATGAAAGAAAATAATAAACTTAGAAAATATAAAACTTTAAACAAAGCTCTGCATCTTCATCACTTACGTTCTCTTTCTTTACTCTTCTTCACCTGAGAGAGCGACGAGGAGGAGGAGCCTGTTTGGTTCTTCATGTTTCCACAGTTCTGATGTTCCTCCTGCTGCAGCGGGAGGAGGAGGAGGAGGAGGAGGACGAAGGCTCCGTCTACAGCAGCGAACACCTGAAGAAACTCTTTTTAGAGCGAGACTCTGTGATCTTCACTGGACCAGCGCCACCTGGTGGGTTGTTGTCGTTCTACAGGAAGAAGTCATGAAAGTGAGAAAGTTTTAAATCAGTTTGTCATAAAAACAGGACAGAGGAGAAATTATCGTTTGTCACGTCCAGAATCAAATCCTCAGGACAACAGATGATGAAGAAGATTCTTTGAGGGACTCACCATCTTTCTGTTTAGTCTCATCATGATGTCTCTGGCGAGTGTGAAAAAGGCCTGAAGACAAAAAAACTGATTGATTCAGTTGTGTGAACGGACGTGAATCTGTGTGTGTGTGTGTGTGTGTGTGTGTGGTAAATCGTGTATTAAATGTGTTTCTGATAAACGATGAGGATCAGGACTCACCTCCTCCACGTTGATGCTGGACTTTGCGCTTGTTTCTAAAAACTTGATTCCGTAGTCGATCGCCAACTGAACAAGAGAAAAAGTCAAGTTTGATATTTTCTGATTTTCTGAACTGTTTCCTGTTGATGCTGTTTATGTTAATATCAGTTTAAATCCGCTGATTCACCTTCTCTCCTCTTTCTTTGGACACTTGTCTCTTGTCGTTCATGTCACATTTGTTTCCCAGAACCATTCGCTCCACGTCTGAGGACGCGTGCTGCGGGACAAACACAGAGGACGTCTCATCTTTGTACACGTGTGGCGTCAAACTCTCAAACGGACTCTTCCCATTGGCTCACAGAACTGCCCCCCCCCCCCCCCCCCCCCCC